TCTCTCTCTCTCTCTCTCTCTCTCTCTCTCTCTCTCTCTCTCTCTCTCTCTCTCTCTCTCTCAGGATGCCCTCCCTGCAGCAGACGCTCCTGTTCTCTCTCTCGGGGGTCCTGGCCCTCTCGTCAGGCCTCCTCTCAGCGGTGGTCTCAGGTCTCCCCCTCTGGGTGGTGGGGTCGGTGCTGTGCCTCACGGGGGCCGAGCTGGTGAACGCCTCGGGGCCCGAGCTGGAGAAGTTCAGGGGGGAGCTGAGCTATGGCCTGCTGGGGGGGAGGAGGGTGAGGCAGTGTGGGCTGGGGGGCCGCGCCTCCTCCTTCTACTGTGAGTACTAATATATATATACTTATATATACATGTAGAGGAGGCTGGGGGGCCGCGCCTCTAACTGTGAGTAATAATATATTGATATATGTATCTTATACTTTATATTATATGCAGTAGGATGTGAGCATCTCCCCCTGGGAAGCGAGGGTCTCATTGTGTGACTTCCTGTGTTGCGGCTCACCTGTCTCTCATTCATTCAAAGTGTTTCTGACTCTTCAATCATTCAGATCCTCCTGCTGCCTCCTCACACTCAGCTTCATATCATGACACAAAGTTGCTTATTATATATAAACAGGATGAAGTACTCTACATTATATATAATACACGATGAAGTACTCTACATTATTATAATCAGGATGAAGTACTCTACATTATATATAATACCAGGGAAGTACTTTATATTATATATACATATAGCCGTTTGTTTTCAGGGACAGTATGAATGTTTCTCTGTGACGCCGAGTCTCATTACTGAGAGCAGCCGGCGGAAACAACTGCTGTTACCGCTCCACTGCACACACACACACACACACACACACACACACCACACACACACACAACACCCACACACACACACACACACACACACACACACAGAAATATTTCCTCTGATCTGGAATGCCGTGGTACACAAAGTACACACAGTACACACAGTACACACAGTACTGCAGTACTCCTCATGCTTTGGCATTGAGATGTTTGGGGTATTTTATTTCATGAATTCAAAGTTCCCTCGCTCTCAGTTTTGAGTTTCTCGTGGTTGGTCTGAGGTTTTATATTTGTTCCATTGTTGTGTTCTATGGAAGATAATGTTTGGGTTTTTCATTCTTTAGTATTAAGTCTGACGTTCCCTCGGTTACTATCGAGTTCCCTAGCGTTAAGTTTCAAGTGTCCTCGTGTAAGGTTTAAGTTCCCTGGTGTTAAGTTTTGAGTTCCCTAAAGACACATTGGTTCCCTCACGTTAAGTTTCTGTGTGAGTTGAACTGGGTTCTGTGTGGATGTCATGACTCGTCTCTCTCCTCACAGTGTCTGTCCTCCCAGTCTTCCCAGAGCTGCTGAGCGCCATCCCAGTGGGCCCTCCACGTCAGCGTCCCTCTTCTTCTGTGGTGTGGTGGTCCTCTTCTCCTCCGTGGCCTCCGGCTTCTTCTTCTTCAACGCCTTCGGACGGCCCTACGAGACGCTGCAAGGCCCTCTGGGACTTTACCTGTGGACCCGCCATCAGCTGTGAGACATTTTAAAATCACCTGATATCACCTGCTGAGACCTTCCCTGTTCACAGATATCTGCAGGTAGTGATCGGCTGCTCCCTGTGAGGGCGCAGGAAGTTGATAATGGCCGCTTTAGAGAAACACAGTCCGGGGGGGGAGAAGGAACTGAGACTCCCCAGACAATAAGCTGCTGTCTGAGGGGATGTCAAAGCTTAATGTGAGGGAAATAGTACCAGGGAACTGAGAACTTAATGTGAGGGAACATAGTGCCAAGGAACTGAGAACTTAATGTGAGGGAACATAGTGCCAAGGAACTGAGAACTTAAGTTGAGGGAACATAGTGCCAGGGAACTGAGAACTTAAGTGAGGGGAACATAGTAACCAGGGAACTGAGAACTTAATGTGAGGGACATAGTGCAGGGAACTGAGAACTTAATGTGAGGGAACATAGTACCGAGGGAACTGAGAACTTAATGTGAGGGACATAGTCCGAGGGAACTGAGAGACTTAATGTGAGGGAACATAGTAGGCCCAGGGAACTGAGAACTTAAATGTGAGGGAACATAGTGCCAGGTAACTGAGAACTTAATGTGAGGGAACATAGTACCAGGAACTGAGAACTTAATGTGAGGGAACATAGTACCGAGGGAACTGAGAACTTAATGTGAGGGAACATAGTGCCAGGGAACTGAGAACTTAATGTGAGGGAACATAGTGCCAGGGAACTGAAACTTAATGTGAGGGAACATAGTACCAGGGGAACTGAGAACTTAATGTGAGGGGAACATAGTACCAGGGTAACTGAGAACTTAATGTGAGGGAACATAGTACCAGGGAACTGAGAACTTAATGTGAGGGAACATAGTGCCAGGGAACTGAGAACTTAATGTGATGGGATCATAGTACCAGGGAACTGAGAACTTAATGTGAGGGAACATAGTAACCAACATGGAACTGAGAACTTAATGTGAGGGGATCATAGTACCAGGGAACTGAGAACTTAATGTGAGGGGATCATAGTACCAGGGAACTGAGAACTTAATGTGAGGGATCATAGTACCAGGGAACTGAGAACTTAATGTGAGGGATCAATAGTACCAGGGAACTGAGAACTTAATGTGAGGGATCATATTACCAGGGAACTGAGAACTGAGAACTTGTCCGGCAGTGGCTCAGTCAGTAGGGGCTTGGACTGGGAGCCGTAGGGTCGCTGGTTCAAGTCCCCGACCAGACCTAAATATGGAGTGTGGACTTCTACTTGGAGAGGTCCCAGTTCCACCTCCTGCCCTGCCGTGGTGGCCCTTGAGCAAGGCACCGGACACCCCCCTTCCCCCCCACTCCCATTGCTCCCCGGGCGCTGTACAATAGCTGCCCACTGCTCCTAGTACTAGACTCCTTGTACTAGGATGGGTTAAAAGCAGAGGCCAAATTTCACTGTGTGTGCTGTGTGCTCTGCATGTGTGACCATTAAAGAGGGTTTCATCCCTCCCTATTCTATTCTACTTAATGTGAGGGAACATAGTGCCAGGGAACTGAGAACTTAATGTGAGGGAACATAGTACCAGGGAACTGAGAACTTAATGTGAGGGAACATAGTACCAGGGAACTGAGAACTTAATGTGAGGGAACATAGTACCAGGGAACTGAGAACTTAATGTGAGGGATCATAGTACCAGGGAACTGAGAACTTAATGTGAGGGATCATAGTACCAGGGAACTGAGAACTTAATGTGAGGGAACATAGTACCAGGGAACTGAGAACTTAATGTGAGGGATCATAGTACCAAGTTCAAGGTGATATCTCCACGATGCCCGGGGCTGCAGGTGACGATGGATTAATCATAGCAAGACCGATAGAAATTTGAAATTGTCCAATTGTCTCCATTTTCACACCAAATGAATCATCAGGGAGTCTCCATGAAACAGTCCGAGTATCAGCTCCCTGAGTCGATGTATCGTCGAGATACGGTAACCGTACATTTCAAATACCCGAGATCCTGCAGTAATGTATTTGAAGTGTACGGTCTGTGTGCAGGTGTGTGATGTTAGAGTGGTAAAGGTGACTTCCTGTGAGATGTTAGAGTGGTGAAGGTGACTTCCTGTGAGCAGGTGTGAGATGTTAGAGTGGTGAAGGTGACTTCCTGTGAGCAGGTGTGTGATGTTAGAGTGGTAAAGGTGACTTCCTGTGAGATGTTAGAGTGGTGAAGGTGACTTCCTGTGAGCAGGTGTGTGATGTTAGAGTGGTAAAGGTGACTTCCTGTGAGCAGGTGTGTGATGTCAGAGTGGTAAAGGTGACTTCCTGTGAGATGTTAGAGTGGTGAAGGTGACTTCCTGTGTGCAGGTGTGAGATGTTTAGAGTGGTTAAAGGTGACTTCCTGTGAGCAGGTGTGAGATGTTAGAGTGGTGAAGGTGACTTCCTGTGTGCAGGTGTGAGATGTTAGAGTGGTAAGGTGACTTCCTGTGAGCAGGTGTGAGATGTTAGAGTGGTAAAGGTGACTTCCTGTGAGCAGGTGTGAGATGTTAGAGTGGTAAAGGTGACTTCCTGTGAGCAGGTGTGAGATGTTAGAGTGGTAACAGGTGACTTCCTGTGAGCAGGTGTGAGATGTTAGAGTGTAAAGGTGACTTCCTGTGAGCAGGTGTGTGATGTTAGAGTGGTAAAGGTGACTTCCTGTGTGCAGGTGGTGTGATGTTTAGAGTGGTAAAGGTGACTTCCTGTGAGCAGGTGTGTGATGTCAGAGTGGTAAGGTGACTTCCTGTTGAGCAGGTGTGAGATTTAGAGTGGTAAAGGTGACTTCCTGTGAGATGTTAGAGTGGTAAAGGTGACTTCTGTGAGATGTTAGAGTGGTAAAGGTGACTTCCTGTGAGCAGTGTGAGATGTTAGAGGTAGTAAAGGTGACTTCCTGTGAGATGTTAGAGTGGTAAAGGTGACTTCCTGTGAGATGTGAGAGTGGTAAAGGTGACTTTCCTGTGAGATGTTAGAGTGGTAAAGGTGACTTCCTGTGAGATGTAGAGTGGTAGGTGACTTCCTGTGAGAGTTAGAGTGTTAGGTGACGTCCTGTGAGTCAGGTGTGTGATGTTAGAGTGGTAAAGGTGACTTCCTGTGAGCAGGTGTGTGATGTTAGAGTGGTAAAGGTGACTTCCTGTGAGCAGGTGTGAGATGTCAGAGTGTAAGGTGACTTCCTGTGAGCAGGTGGTGTGATGTTAGAGTGGTAAAGGGACTTCCTGTGAGCAGGTGTGTGATGTTAGAGTAGTAAAGGTGACTTCCTGTGTGCAGGTGTGGTGATGTTAGAGTAGTAAAGGTGACTTCCTGTGAGCAGGTGTGTGATGTTTAGAGTAGTAAAGGTGACTTCCTGTGAGCAGGATGTGAGATGTTTAGAGTGGTAAAGGTGACTTCCTGTGAGCAGTGTGTGGATGTTAGAGTAGTAAAGGTGACTTCCTGGTGAGCAGGTGTGAGAGTTAGAGTAGTAAAGGTGACTCCTGTGCCAGGTGTGAGTGTTAGAGTGGTAAACCGGTGACTTCCTGTGAGCAGGTGTGTGATGTTAGAGTGGGTAAAGGTGACTTCCTGTGAGCAGGTGTGTGATGTTAGAGTGGTAAAGGTGGACTTCCTGTGAGATGTCAGAGTGGTAAAGGTGACTTCCTGTGAGCAGGTGTGTGATGTTAGAGTGGTAAAAGGTGACTTCCTGTGAGATGTTAGAGTGGTAAAGGTGACTTCCTGTGAGCAGGTGTGTGATGTTAGAGTGGTGAAGGTGACTTCCTGTGAGCAGGTGTGTGATGTTAGAGTGGTAAAGGTGACTTCCTGTGAGCAGGTGTGTGATGTCAGAGTGGTAAAGGTGACTTCCTGTGAGCAGGTGTGTGATGTCAGAGTGGGTGAGGTGACTTCCTGTGAGCAGGTGTGTGATGTTAGAGTGGTAAAGGTGACTTCCTGTGAGCAGGTGTGTGATGTCAGAGTGGTAAAGGTGACTTCCTGTGAGCAGGTGTGTGATGTCAGAGTGGTGAAGGTGACTTCCTGTGAGCAGGTGTGTGATGTTAGAGTGGTAAAGGTGACTTCCTGTGAGCAGGTGTGTGATGTTAGAGTGGGAAAGGTGCTTCCTGTGTGCAGGTGTGTGATGTTAGAGTGGTAAAGGTGACTTCCTGTGTGCAGGTGTGAGCAGCTGTCTGGTGATGATCCTCTTTGCCTCGGAGGTGAGCTTGAACCACCTGTCGGACCGGATCGTTAACTTTAACGAGGCGAGCTTCGTGTACCGGACGCACAAGCGAGAGATTCGGACGCTGCTTCTGGCCTCTTCTTCCTCGTCCTTCCTGCTGCACGCCGTCAACTTCCTGTTGATCCGCCTGACGGGGGTGCAGTTCCCCCTTCAGGGGCAAAGAGAGCGAGCTGAGCGGGGGGGGGGGCGGCCGACCTCATGTACTGATGGGGGGGGGCCGACACCATGTACTGATGGGGGGCGGCTGACCTCATTGTACTGATGGGTGGGGGGGGGGGGGGGGGCGGCCGACCTCATGTACTGATGGGGGGGGGGGGCCGACAACCATGTACCTGATGGGGGGCGGCCGACCTCATGTACTGATGGGGGGGGGGGCGGGGCGACCTCATGTACTGATGGGGGGGGGGGGGGGGCGACCTCATGTACTGATGGGGGGGGGGGGGCGGGGCGACCTCATGTACTGATGGGGGGGGGCGGGGGGCGACCTCATGTACTGATGGGGGGGGTGACCTCATGTACTGATGGGGGGGGTGACCTCATGTACTGATGGGGGGGGGGGGGGGGCGGGGCGACCTCATGTACTGATGGGGGGGGGGGGCGACCTCATGTACTGATGGGGGGGGGCGACCTCATGTACTGATGGGGGGGGGGGGGCACCTCATGTACTGATGGGGGGGGGGCGACCTCATGTACTGATGGGGGGGGGGGCGGGGCGACCTCATGTTACTGATGGGGGGGGGGGCGACCTCATGTACTGATGGGGGGGGGGCGACCTCATGTACTGATGGGGGGGCGACCTCATGTACTGATGGGGGGGCGACCTCATGTACTGATGGGGGGGCCGACACCATGTACTGATGGGGGGCGGCCGACCTCATGTACTGATGGGGGGGGGGGCGGGGCGACCTCATGTACTGATGGGGGGGGGGGGGGGGCGACCTCATGTACTGATGGGGGGGGGGGGGGCGACCATCATGTCTGATGGGGGGGTGACCTCATGTACTGATGGGGGGGGTGACCTCATGTACTGATGGGGGGGGGGGCGGGGCGACCTCATGTACTGATGGGGGGGGGCGACCTCATGTACTGATGGGGGGGGCGACCTCATGTACTGATGGGGGGGGCGACCTCATGTACTGATGGGGGGGGGCGACCTCATGTACTGATGGGGGGGGGCGACCTCATGTACTGATGGGGGGGGGGCGACCTCATGTACTGATGGGGGGGGGCGACCTCATGTACTGATGGGGGGGGGCGACCTCATGTACTGATGGGGGGGGGCGACCTCATGTACTGATGGGGGGGCGACCTCATGTACTGATGGGGGGGCGACCTCATGTACTGATGGGGGGGGGCGACCTCATGTACTGATGGGGGGGGGCGACCTCATGTACTGAGGGGGGAGGAGCCTATTAGGGACAAAAGACTGATGACAGGAAGACAACGGCCATTTTTACAGAAACCCATGTTGTGTCAGATTGTGATGCTAATGCTAATGCTAACAGACAGAGGTAGTGAAATCTAATCTGGTAGAAAATGTTATTTTAAACTCTTTTAAAAACATAAAATCTGATTTATCTGCAATTTATAAACTTTTATTAACTTGAATAACAATGAGTTTTGTATTTAATACAGATGTAATATATTTTATTTAGCATACTTTTCACTGTTTAGTAAACGTAATGTTTTTATATTAAAATGTTCTGTTACTCTGGTGGTGAATAATAAACTGAAATAACTGATCATCTGAGTGTTTATTCTGACGGTGAGAGCAGAGCGTAGGAACATCTCAAATAATATACATATATAGATTTCTAAATAAGAGCTTTAAAATTGTGACAAGAAAATAAATTCAAATTTACTTTGACTGACAGTAACCCCCCCGTCATTATGTAGTGATGTACACACACACACACACACACACACACACACACACACACACACACACACACACACACACCATTGTTTATGTATTTTAATTTGTGTGTGTGTGTGTCTGTGTGTGTGTGTGTCTGTGTGTGTGTCTGTGTGTGTCTGTGTGTGTCTGTGTGTCTGTCTGTGTCTGTGTGTGTGTGTGTGTCTGTGTCTGTGTGTGTGTGTGTGTGTGTGTGTGTGTGTGTGTGTGTGTCTGTGTGTGTGTTTGTGGTGTGAGACGGTTCTGCCTGTCTGTCTGCAGCCTGTCTGTGTGTGTGTGTGTGTGTGTGTGTGTGTGTGTCTGTGTGTGTGTGTGTGTGTGTGTGTGTGACGGTTCTGCCTGTCTGTTGTTGGGTTCAGAATTCCAGAAAAGACAGACAACTTCTAAGTTTAACTATTTATTGTAAAGAGAGCAAAAGATATATATGACTTCCCAAGGACTCATCACGTCTTTGGGAATCACAATACATTTTATTACACAGGGCGTTGCCCGTACATTTATGATTGGTCAAGACTAGCTGAAGAGATACCGCGGTTTAGACTTGGTTCTCTTTGGTTGGTGCACAGACTCAGATAGGGTCTCTTGGCAACACGATCCTCCAATCAGCATTCGGCCGGCCTGTGGAAGTCCCTCCCTACTCGGGCACCATCATACTCATTGCGTTCCTTCAGATATAGCGGGAAACCATAATGTTGCTTCCTAGCTTTGCGGGGGAGCTCCCATACAGAGTCAAGGCCGGTGCGATGTGCTGACGACCTCTTCGTGTTCTCTCAGTCTCTGCACTCCACCTTGATACTTTCAATATTGCAAGCTAAACACTTTCTCATGTAACTTTTCCTTTTGTTCCTGTCCTCCCCATCAAAACTGGGGGGGGGTGATTGGGTCTATTTATTCCTAAGTCACAGCCACATAAATGAGAACAATAAGCTTATCAATAAGAATCAGTCTTTCTAATGTTATATACAAATAGACTCCACACTGTGTGCAGCCTGTCTGTGTGTTTGTGATGTGAGACGGTTCTGCCTGTCTGTGTGTTTGTGATGTGAGACGGTTCTGCCTGTCTGTGTGTTTGTGGTGTGAGACGGTTCTGCCTGTCTGTGTGTTTGTGATGTGAGACGGTTCTGCCTGTCTGTCTGCAGCCTGTCTGTCAGAAGGATCAGGAGCTAGCATTAGCCGCGGCGCTGAGCGACAGCCTCTGGGTCGCCAGGCAGGAAGTCAGCGCCACTGTTACCTTGGTGACCGAGGACTACTGCATCACTCCTCACCTGGACTACAAGCTGGACAACTTCACAGAGAGGGTACCTGGGGGGGAGGGGTACATGGGGAGGGGTACATGGGGAGGGGTACCTGGCAGTTCTACTCCAGTATAATAAATACAACCCGGTATCACGGCAAGACGTGAACATGTGACGATCTACCACGCTGGGAGACGTGAATATGTCACGGTTTCGTCCCTTCAAACGTGACAGTTACACGGTATTGTTAACATGGCCCAACCAGTGGAGAAATACCCGGAAGTAAGGGGGAATCAGCCCTTAGTGTTAAGGTGGAATCAGCCCTTAGTGTTAAGGTGGAATCAGCCCTTAGAGTTAAAGGGGAATCAGCCCTTAGTGTTAGTGTTAAGGGGGATCAGCCCTTAGAGTTAAGGTGGAATCAGCCCTTAGAGTTAAAGGGGAATCAGCCCTTAGTGTTAAGGTGGAATCAGCCCTTAGAGTTAAAGGGGAATCAGCCCTTAGTGTTAAGGTGGAATCAGCCCTTAGAGTTAAAGGGGAATCAGCCCTTAGTGTTAGTGTTAAGGGGGATCAGCCCTTAGAGTTAAGGTGGAATCAGCCCTTAGAGTTAAAGGGGAATCAGCCCTTAGTGTTAAGGTGGAATCAGCCCTTAGAGTTAAAGGGGAATCAGCCCTTAGTGTTAAGGTGGAATCAGCCCTTAGAGTTAAAAGGGAATCAGCCCTTAGTGTTAGTGTTAAGGGGGATCAGCCCTTAGAGTTAAAGGGGAATCAGCCCTTAGTGTTAAGGTGGAATCAGCCCTTAGTGTTAGTGTTAAGGGGGAATGAGCCCTTAGATTTAAGATGGAATCAGCCCTTAGAGTTAAGATGGAATCAGCCCTTAGAGTTAAGATGGAATCAGCCCTTAGAGTTAAAGGGGAATCAGCCCTTAGTGTTAGTGTTAAGGGGGATCAGCCCTTAGAGTTAAGATGGAATCAGCCCTTAGAGTTAAGGTGGAATCAGCCCTTAGAGTTAAGATGGAATCAGCCCTTAGAGTTAAAGGGGAATCAGCCCTTAGTGTTAGTGTTAAGGGGATCAGCCCTTAGAGTTAAGATGGAATCAGCCCTTACGGCCCCGTCCACACAGTGGCGTGCGTTGAAAGCTTCACCATTCACTTGAATGGGGTGACGTCACTTTTCGCCGAACTGCATTGTGGGAAGCGAAGCGGAGCTTTGCTGGCGTGGCTCACTGCAAAAGTTGAGAAATGTTCAACTTTTGAAGCTTCTGAAGCTTCGGTGGAAGCGTCAGCCAATCAAATCCCGTTTATGCAAATCTACCAGTACAAGCGCTAGCCAATCAAACCGCGTGTATGCTGGGAGAGACACCGCAGGTCATTTCCTCATATTCCAAAAGATGGAGCAAGCTTCAACGCACGCCGCTGTGTGGACGGGCCGTTAATGTTAAGGAGGAATTAGCCCTTATTGTTAAGGGGGAATCAGCCCTTAGAGTTAAGGTGGAATCAGCCCTTAGTGTTAAGGTGGAATCAGCCCTTAGTGTTAGTGTTAAGGGGGAATCAGCCCTTATTGTTAAGGGGGAATCAGCCCTTAGAGTTAAGGGGGAATCAGCCCTTAGTGTTAAGGTGGAATCAACCCTTAGTGTTAAGGTGGAATCAACCCTTAGTGTTAAGGGGGAATCAGCCCTTAGAGTTAAAGGGGAATCAGCCCTTAGTGTTAGTGTTAAGGGGGATCAGCCCTTGAGAGTCCCCAGGTGGACTGAGACCCTGTCCTCTGTCCTCAGGTGGGCTGAGACCCTGTCCTCTGTCCTCAGGTGGGCTGAGACCCTGTCCTCTGTCCTCAGGTGGGCTGAGACCCTGTCCTCAGGTGGCTGAGACCCTGTCCTCTGTCGTCAGGTGGGCTGAGACCCTGTCCTCTGTCCTCAGGTGGGCTGAGACCCTGTCCTCTGTCCTCAGGTGGGCTGAGACCCTGTCCTCAGGTGGGCTGAGACCCTGTCCTCTGTCGTCAGGTGGGCTGAGACCCTGTCCTCTGTCCTCAGGTGGGCTGAGACCCTGTCCTCTGTCCTCAGGTGGGCTGAGACCCTGTCCTCTGTCCTCAGGTGGGCTGAGACCCTGTCCTCTGTCCTCAGGTGGGCTGAGACCCTGTCCTCTGTCGTCAGGTGGGATGAGACCCTGTCCTCTGTCCTCAGGTGGGATGAGACCCTGTCCTCTGTCCTCAGGTGGGCTGAGACCCTGTCCTCTGTCGTCAGGTGGGCTGAGACCCTGTCCTCTGTCCTCAGGTGGGCTGAGACCCTGTCCTCTGTCCTCAGGTGGGCTGAGACCCTGTCCTCTGTCCTCAGGTGGGCTGAGACCCTGTCCTCTGTCCTCAGGTGGGCTGAGACCCTGTCCTCTGTCGTCAGGTGGGCTGAGACCCTGTCCTCTGTCCTCAGGTGGGCTGAGACCCTGTCCTCTGTCCTCAGGTGGGCTGAGACCCTGTCCTCTGTCCTCAGGTGGGCAGCATGCTGAAGACCCCCCTGGTCCCAGTGTGGCTCTGCTGTATTAACGGCAGCGTCTCGGTGGTCTTCAGTCTGCACCGCTCTCTGCTCTCTGATTGGAAGATGGAGCACCTGTTCACGCTGTTCTACTACAACGGGCAGGACCCCCAGAAGACCCCCGCCAGGCTGACTGTAGGTGAGCGGGGGGGGGGGGGTTTATTGTGAAAGGTAAGGAGGATGTAGTTATGAAGGCAAAAGAAGTCTGTATTCTGATCCACCAAACTCCATTCAGAACACCAGCCCCTTAGAGGTCTCCTATCATGCAGAATGCTGTCTCTGATGTCTTCTCTACATCACCATGTGTCCCCGGTGTGTCAGGAGACTCTCTAAGTGATGTCTTCTCTACATCACCATGTGTCCCCGGTGTGTCAGGAGACTCTCATAGTGATGTCTTCTCTACATCACCATGTGTCCCCGGTGTGTCAGGAGACTCTCTAAGTGATGTCTTCTCTACATCACCATGTGTCCCCGGTGTGTCAGGAGACTCTCTAAGTGATGTCTTCTCTACATCACCATGTGTCCCCGGTGTGTCAGGAGACTCTCATAGTGATGTCTTCTCTACATCACCATGTGTCCCCGGTGTGTCAGGAGACTCACTAAGTGATGTCTTCTCTACATCACCATGTGTCCCCGGTGTGTCAGGAGACTCACTAAGTGATGTCTCCTCTACATCACCATGTGTCCCCGGTGTGTCAGGAGACTCACTAAGTGATCTCTTCTCTACATCACCATGTGTCCCCGGTGTGTCAGGAGACATCACATAGTGATGTCTTCTCTACATCACCATGTGTCCCCGGTGTGTCAGGAGACTCACATAGTGATGTCTTCTCTACATCACCATGTGTCCCCGGTGTGTCAGGAGACTCACAAAGTGATGTCTTCTCTACATCACCATGTGTCCCCGGTGTGTCAGGAGACTCACTAAGTGATGTCTCCTCTACATCACTATGTGTCCCCGGTGTGTCAGGAGACTCTCTAAGTGATGTCTCCTCTACATCACCGTGTGTCCCCGGTGTGTCAGGAGACTCACTAAGTGATGTCTTCTCTACATCACCATGTGTCCCCGGTGTGTCAGGAGACTCACTAAGTGATGTCTTCTCTACATCACCATGTGTCCCCGGTGTGTCAGGAGACTCACTAAGTGATGTCTTCTCTACATCACCATGTGTCCCCGGTGTGTCAGGAGACTCACTAAGTGATGTCTTCTCTACATCACCATGTGTCCCCGGTTGTGTCAGGAGACTCTCTAAGTGATGTCTTCTCTACATCACCATGTGTCCCCGGTGTGTCAGGAGACTCTCTAAGTGATGTCTTCTCTACATCACCATGTGTCCCCGGTGTGTCAGGAGACTCACTAAGTGATGTCTTCTCTACATCACCATGTGTCCCCGGTGTGTCAGGAGACTCTCATAGTGATGTCTTCTCTACATCACCATGTGTCCCCGGTGTGTCAGGAGACTCTCTAAGTGATGTCTTCTCTACATCACCATGTGTCCCCGGTGTGTCAGGAGACTCTCAAAGTGATGTCTTCTCTACATCACCATGTGTCCCCGGTGTGTCAGGAGACTCTCTAAGTGATGTCTTCTCTACATCACCATGTGTCCCCGGTGTGTCAGGAGACTCACTAAGTGATGTCTTCTCTACATCACCATGTGTCCCCGGTGTGTCAGGAGACTCTCAAAGTGATGTCTCCTCTACATCACCATGTGTCCCCGGTGTGTCAGGAGACTCTCTAAGTGATGTCTCCTCTACATCACCATGTGTCCCCGGTGTGTCAGGAGACTCTCAAAGTGATGTCTCCTCTACATCACCATGTGTCCCCGGTGTGTCAGGAGACTCTCAAAGTGATGTCTCCTCTACATCACCATGTGTCCCCGGTGTGTCAGGAGACTCACTAAGTGATGTCTCCTCTACATCACCATGTGTCCCCGGTGTGTCAGGAGACTCACTAAGTGATCTCTTCTCTACATCACCATGTGTCCCCGGTGTGTCAGGAGACTCTCAAAGTGATGTCTTCTCTACATCACCATGTGTCCCCGGTGTGTCAGGAGACTCTCTAAGTGATGTCTTCTCTACATCACCATGTGTCCCCGGTGTGTCAGGAGACTCACATAGTGATGTCTTCTCTACATCACCATGTGTCCCCGGTGTGTCAGGAGACTCACTAGTGATGTCTTCTCTACATCACCATGTGTCCCCGGTGTGTCAGGAGACTCACAAAGTGATGTCTTCTCTACATCACCATGTGTCCCCGGTGTGTCAGGAGACTCACTAAGTGATGTCTTCTCTACATCACCATGTGTCCCCGGTGTGTCAGGAGACTCACATAGTGATGTCTTCTCTACATCACCATGTGTCCCCGGTGTGTCAGGAGACTCACTAAGTGATGTCTCCTCTACATCACTGTGTGTCCCCGGTGTGTCAGGAGACTCTCTAAGTGATGTCTTCTCTACATCACCATGTGTCCCCGGTGTGTCAGGAGACTCACTAAGTGATGTCTTCTCTACATCACCATGTGTCCCCGGTGTGTCAGGAGACTCACTAAGTGATGTCTTCTCTACATCACCATGTGTCCCCGGTGTGTCAGGAGACTCACTAAGTGATGTCTTCTCTACATCACCATGTGTCCCCGGTGTGTCAGGAGACTCACTAAGTGATGTCTTCTCTACATCACCATGTGTCCCCGGTGTGTCAGGAGACTCACTAAGTGATGTCTTCTCTACATCACCATGTGTCCCCGGTGTGTCAGGAGACTCACTAAGTGATGTCTTCTCTACATCACCATGTGTCCCCGGTGTGTCAGGAGACTCACTAAGTGATGTCTCCTCTACATCACCGTGTGTCCCCGGTGTGTCAGGAGACTCACTAAGTGATGTCTTCTCTACATCACCATGTGTCCTCGGTGTGTCAGGAGACTCACTAAGTGATGTCTTCTCTACATCACCATGTGTCCCCGGTGTGTCAGGAGACTCACTAAGTGATGTCTTCTCTACATCACCATGTGTCCCCGGTGTGTCAGGAGACTCTCTAAGTGATGTCTTCTCTACATCACCATGTGTCCCCGGTGTGGTCAGGAGACTCTCTAAGTGATGTCTTCTCTACATCACCATGTGTCCCCGGTGTGTCAGGAGACTCACTAAGTGATGTCTTCTCTACATCACCATGTGTCCCCGGTGTGTCAGGAGACTCTCATAGTGATGTCTTCTCTACATCACCATGTGTCCCCGGTGTGTCAGGAGACTCTCTAAGTGATGTCTCCTCTACATCACCATGTGTCCCCGGTGTGTCAGGAGACTCTCAAAGTGATGTCTTCTCTACATCACCATGTGTCCCCGGTGTGTCAGGAGACTCTCTAAGTGATGTCTCCTCTACATCACCATGTGTCCCCGGTGTGTCAGGAGACTCACTAAGTGATGTCTTCTCTACATCACCATGTGTCCCCGGTGTGTCAGGAGACTCTCTAAGTGATGTCTTCTCTACATCACCATGTGTGCCCGGTGTGTCAGGAGACTCACTAAGTGATGTCTTCTCTACATCACCATGTGTCCCCGGTGTGTCAGGAGACTCACTAAGTGATGTCTTCTCTACATCACCATGTGTCCCCGGTGTGTCAGGAGACTCACTAAGTGATGTCTTCTCTACATCACCATGTGTCCCCGGTGTGTCAGGAGACTCTCTAAGTGATGTCTTCTCTACATCACCATGTGTCCCCGGTGTGTCAGGAGACTCACTAAGTGATGTCTTCTCTACATCACCATGTGTCCCCGGTGTGTCAGGAGACTCACTAAGTGATGTCTCCTCTACATCACCGTGTGTCCCCGGTGTGTCAGGAGACTCACTAAGTGATGTCTTCTCTACATCACCATGTGTCCCCGGTGTCCTCCCGGTGTGTCAGGATGTATTTTCTACATCACCATGTGTCCCCGGTGTGTCAGGAGACTCACTAAGTGATGTCTCCTCTACATCACTATGTGTCCCCGGTGTGTCAGGAGACTCTCTAAGTGATGTCTTCTCTACATCACCATGTGTCCCCGGTGTGTCAGGAGACTCTCTAAGTGATGTCTTCTCTACATCACCATGTGTCCCCGGTGTGTCAGGAGACTCACTAAGTGATGTCTTCTCTACATCACCATGTGTCCCCGGTGTGTCAGGAGACTCACTAAGTGATGTCTTCTCTACGTCACCATGTGTCCCCGGTGTCAGGAGACTCACTAAGTGATGTCTTCTCTACATCACCATGTGTCCCCGGTGTCAGGAGACTCACTAAGTGATGTCTTCTCTACATCACCATGTGTCCCCGGTGTGTCAGGAGACTCACTAAGTGATGTCTTCTCTACATCACCATGTGTCCCCGGTGTGTCAGGAGACTCTCATAGTGATGTCTTCTCTACATCACCATGTGTCCCCGGTGTGTCAGGAGACTCACTAAGTGATGTCTTCTCTACGTCACCATGTGTCCCCGGTGTGTCAGGAGACTCACTAAGTGATGTCTTCTCTACATCACCATGTGTCCCCGGTGTGTCAGGATGTATTTTCTACATCACCATGTGTCCCCGGTGTGTCCCCGGTGTGTCCCCGGTGTGTCCCCGGTGTGTCAGGAGACTCTCAAAGTGTCAGGAAATAAACCCCTCTCTCTTCTCCTCCGTACCCACATCTCTAAAAACGGGGAACAACGGAGCTGATCCAGATTTGCTGCGTCATGACCACATTACTAAAATGTGGGCGGGCTTTAAACCCACGGGCCAATCAGAAACGTTGCTGTCAGAAACAATGAGACGTGTTCTGGAAGTAATATGGTCTGTGTTTCATTAGCATGCTAACACTCAGAGCTAACCTGTACTGGAGAGAGCATGTGTGAAGAAGCAGGAAATCAAAGGAACTCACCTTGTGGTAAACCTGAGAGAGAGAAAGAGTTTGAGCTCCATACTGTTTCAGAGAGAATCCTTCATGTGGTTTGGAACATGATATGGAGTTTCATCACGGCAGCATTTAGCTGAGAATCTGCTGGGAGAGTTCTCCTGATGAGATCTACTCTCTCTCTAAAGGCCGCTACACCAAAGAACACGTACCGAAGGCGTCCCGACTTTTACGTCAGCTACGTCGCCTGCGTCGGCTACGCCGCCCGCCTACGAACACACCGCAAATACTTCAGTCGACGAGTGGCAATAACTGTCCTTACCAGCAGGCAGTGGTAGTGTGAACAGCCAATCAGAGTGATTGCTTGTCCCGACTTTCTCTGGCCTCCCGCGGCCGATTCAACATGTTGAAGGTGGGAGGTGTGAAAAGGTGCCGTAAAGAGACGACGGTGCGGGACACACCAACCTGAGTAGGGCGCCGCGAATGCCCGACGGCCTCTGACTCCCAAAATCGGGCTGGTGTGTCCGGGCTCTAAAGCTACTGACCCAGAGTCAGCTCTTTAGTAACAGCTGGAAGAGAGGGGGGGGGGGGGGCTACAAGGATCTGTTTGGGGTTTGGAGCAGGACACTTCAGAGACATGTCCTTAGTAACAGCTGGAAGAGAGGGGGGGGGGGCTACAAGGATCTGTTTGGGGTTTGGAGCAGGACACTTCAGAGACATGTCCTTAGTAACAGCTGGAAGAGAGGGGGGGGGGGCTACAAGGATCTGTTTGGGGTTTGGAGCAGGACACTTCAGAGACATGTCCTTAGTAACAGCTGGAAGAGAGGGGGGGGGCTACAAGGATCTGTTTGGGGTTTGGAGCAGGACACTTCAGAGACATGTCCTTAGTAACAGCTGGAAGAGAGGGGGGGGGGGGGCTACAAGGATCTGTTGGGGTTTGGAGCAGGACACTTCAGAGACATGTCCTTAGTAACAGCTGGAAGAGAGGGGGGGGGGGGGGCTACAAGGATCTGTTTGGGGTTTGGAGCAGGACACTTCAGAGACATGTCCTTAGTAACAGCTGGAAGAGAGGGGGGGGGGCTACAAGGATCTGTTTGGGGTTTGGAGCAGGACACTTCAGAGACATGTCCTTAGTAACAGCTGGAAGAGAGGGGGGGGGGGCTACAAGGATCTGTTTGGGGTTTGGAGCAGGACACTTCAGAGACATGTCCTTAGTAACAGCTGGAAGAGAGGGGGGGGGGGGCTACAAGGGTCTGTTTGGGGTCTGGAGCAGGACACTTCAGAGTCATGTCCTTAGTAACAGCTGGAAGAGAGGGGGGGGGGCTACAAGGGTCTGTTTGGGGTCTGGAGCAGGACACTTCAGAGTCATGTCCTTAGTAACAGCTGGAAGAGAGAGGGGGGGGGGCTACAAGGATCTGTTTGGGGTCTGGAGCAGGACACTTCAGAGTCATGTCCTTAGTAACAGCTGGAAGAGAGGGGGGGGGGGCTACAAGGATCTGTTTGGGGTCTGGAGCAGGACACTTCAGAGTCATGTCCTTAGTAACAGCTGGAAGAGAGGGGGGGGGGCTACAAGGATCTGTTTGGGGTCTGGAGCAGGACACTTCAGAGTCATGTCCTTAGTAACAGCTCCTTCCCTCAACGAAAAAATGCAATTTCTCCATAGGATTTAGGAAAATAGCTCTAAATCAGGTTGAGACACATTGAAGAGACGGATCACGTTTTGTTCAGTCAGATCATCTCCACATGCCCCTAACCCTAACCCTAACCCTATTTTTATAATTTTCGATATAGATATAAATAGATTTATGATTAGAAAATGCCATTCTATAGGAGCCCTTTAAAGAGGCCCTGACAGAGCATCAGATCAGAGGGGTTCCTCCCTCCAGACCTCCAGACCTCCTGCTTCCTGTCCGTCCTCCTGCAGTAACACCTCACTCTAACATGAGTCTGTGTGCAGATACTCACTCTCACCACTGGGAGGCGCCCTGCCGCCCGTCAGAGGGCGACCAGGAGAAGAGGTTCCCCTCCCTGGAGATGACCCTCCGCACCAGGTGGGCCGGAGCCGCCATCGCCTGGAGTGACACGGGGCTGTTCTACTGAGCGCATTAACTCTGGGTTTCGCTCAGGATCCAGATCCAGATCCAGAACCAGATCCAGATCCAGAACCAGATCCAGATCCAGATCCAGATCCAGAACCAGATCCAGATCCAGATCCAGATCCAGATCCAGAACCAGATCCAGATCCAGAACCAGATCCAGATCCAGAACCAGATCCAGATCCAGAACCAGATCCAGATCCAGATCCAGAACCAGATCCAGAACCAGAACCAGAACCAGATCCAGATCCAGATCCAGAACCAGATCCAGATCCAGAACCAGATCCAGATCCAGATCCAGATCCAGAACCAGATCCAGATCCAGATGCAGCAAATATCAAAAGTCAAAGCAATCCAAACTTAATAATCCGAAGAAATATTGAAAACATTTGTTGTAAAAAGCTTCGAAAAATGCAGAACGTTTTTGAAACACAGAAATAAAAATGTTGAAAATTATTAAATACATGTTTAAACTCTTCAGTGTTCGTTTCTGTGTGAAGTACGACTCAGCCTACAGAGGGGACACTGGGGACACTGGGGACATACAAAGAGACTCACTGGGGACACTGGGGACATACAAAGAGACTCACTGGGGACACTGGGGACATACAAAGAGACTCACTGGGGACACTGGGGACATACAAAGAGACTCACTGGGGACATACAAAGAGACTCACTGGGGACACTGGGGACATACAAAGAGACTCACTGGGGACACTGGGGACATACAAAGAGACTCACTAGGGGGACACTGGGGACATACAAAGAGACCTCACTGGGGACACTGGGGACATACAAAGCCTCAAGGGAATGGGAAACTAACTGGGGACACTGGGGACATACAAAGAGACTCACTGGGGACACTGGGGACATACAAAGAGACTCATTGGGGACACTGGGGACATACAAAGAGACTCACTGGGGACACTGGGGACATACAAAGAGACTCACTGGGGACACTGGGGACATACAAAGAGACTCACTGGGGACACTGGGGACATACAAAGAGACTCACTGGGGACACTGGGGACATACAAAGAGACTCACTGGGGACACTGGGGACATACAAAGAGACTCACTGGGGACATACAAAGAGACTCATTGGGGACATACAAAGAGACTCACTGGGGACACTGGGGACATACAAAGAGACTCACTGGGGACATACAAAGAGACTCACTGGGGACACTGGGGACATACAAAGAGACTCACTGGGGACACTGGGGACATACAAAGAGACTCATTGGGGACACTGGGGACATACAAACAGTGTGTTTCAGTTTCAGGACAAAGACAAGTGGATTTAAAACAAAACATGAAATCAGGTCAGATTTATTCCTCAGGGTCACTCATCACATCTGCATTTATTTACACTGCTCTGATTGGTCAACTGCCCCTTAGACTTTCACGTACAATGTGTAGGAGCGCTAGCCAATAGGAGCGCGAGGGTTCCACAGTGATGTCACTATGAGGTAAACAAAGGAGTCCAATGGAGTCGGTTCAGGCACATTAATGTATTTTTTTGGGGGGTGGGGTCTACACCATGCCGCTCCACTGCAGCGAGGTGTACTGGACGCCCCCCGCGCCCCCCGCCCCCCCCGGGTACTGGACGCCCCCCGGGGAGCACAGAAGAACCGTCTTCTTCACGTTGGAACCCAGCCGAGCGATGGCCAGGACGTCGAGCGGAGACAGAGACGAGTCCAGAGAGAGGACGACCGCGATGAAGTGAGCGTGGAACCGCAGGGGGTCACCTGTAGGGGGGGGGGGGGGGGGGGAACACCTGGTTATTAAACATCTGGTTGTTAAACACCTGGTTATTAAACACCTGGTTGTTAAACACCTGGTTGTTAAACACCTGGTTGTTAAACACCTGGTTGTTAAACACCTGGTTGTTAAACACCTGGTTATTAAACATCTGATTGATAAACACCTGGTTGATAAACACCTGGTTGTTAAACACCTGGTTGTTAAACACCTGGTTGTTAAACACCTGGTTGTTAAACATCTGATTGATAAACACCTGGTTTTTAAACACCTGGTTGTTAAACACCTGGTTGTTAAACACCTGATTATTAAACACCTGATTATTAAACATCTGATTATTAAACACCTGGTTGTTAAACACCTGATTATTAAACACCTGATTATTAAACATCTGATTATTAAACACCTGGTTGTTAAACACCTGGTTATTAAACACCTGGTTATTAAACACCTGATTATTAAACACCTGGTTATTAAACACCTGATTATTAAACATCTGATTATTAAACACCTGGTTGTTAAACACCTGGTTGTTAAACACCTGGTTATTAAACACCTGGTTATTAAACACCTGATTGATAAACACCTGGTTGTTAAACACCTGGTTGTTAAACACCTGGTTGTTAAACACCTGGTTATTAAACACCTGGTTATTAAACACCTGATTGATAAACACCTGGTTGTTAAACACCTGGTTATTAAACACCTGGTTATTAAACACCTGATTGATAAACACCTGGTTGTTAAACACCTGATTATTAAACATCTGGTTGTTAAACACCTGGTTGTTAAACACCTGGTTATTAAACATCTGGTTGTTAAACACCTGGTTATTAAACACCTGGTTGTTAAACACCTGGTTATTAAACATCTGGTTGTTAAACACCTGATTGTTAAACACCTGGTTGTTAAACACCTGGTTGTTAAACACCTGGTTGTTAAACATCTGATTGATAAACACCTGGTTATTAAACACCTGATTGATAAACACCTGGTTGTTAAACACCTGATTATTAAACACCTGGTTGTTAAACACCTGATTATTAAACACCTGGTTGTTAAACACCTGGTTATTAAACACCTGGTTATTAAACACCTGGTTGTTAAACACCTGGTTATTAAACACCTGGTTGTTAAACACCTAGTTATTAAACACCTGATTGATAAACACCTGGTTGTTAAACACCTGGTTATTAAACACCTGGTTATTAAACACCTGGTTATTAAACACCTGATTGATAAACACCTGGTTGTTAAACATCTGATTATTAAACACCTGGTTGTTAAACACCTGGTTGTTAAACACCTGGTTATTAAACACCTGGTTATTAAACACCTGGTTATTAAACATCTGATTATTAAACACCTGGTTATTAAACATCTGATTATTAAACACCTGGTTATTAAACACCTGATTGATAAACACCTGGTTGTTAAACACCTGGTTGTTAAACACCTGGTTGTTAAACACCTGGTTGTTAAACACCTGGTTATTAAACACCTGGTTATTAAACATCTGGTTGTTAAACACCTGATTGTTAAACACCTGGTTGTTAAACACCTGGTTGTTAAACACCTGGTTGTTAAACACCTGGTTATTAAACACCTGGTTATTAAACACCTGATTGATAAACACCTGGTTGTTAAACACCTGGTTGTTAAACACCTGGTTATTAAACACCTGGTTATTAAACACCTGGTTATTAAACATCTGATTATTAAACACCTGGTTATTAAACACCTGGTTATTAAACACCTGGTTATTAAACACCTGGTTGTTAAACACCTGGTTATTAAACACCTGGTTGTTAAACACCTGGTTGTTAAACACCTGGTTGTTAAACACCTAGTTATTAAACACCTGATTGATAAACACCTGGTTGTTAAACACCTGGTTATTAAACACCTGGTTATTAAACACCTGGTTATTAAACACCTGATTGATAAACACCTGGTGTTAAACATCTGATTATTAAACACCTGGTTGTTAAACACTGGTTGTTAAACACTGGTTATAAACACCTGATTATTAAACACCTGGTTATTAAACATCTGATTATTAAACACCTGGTTATTAAACATCTGATTATTAAACACCTGGTTATTAAACACCTGGTTGTTAAACACCTGGTTGTTAAACACCTGGTTATTAAACACCTGGTTATTAAACACCTGATTGATAAACACCTGGTTGTTAAACACCTGGTTGTTAAAACACCTGGTGTAAAACACCTGGTTATTAAACATCTGGTTGTTAAACACCTGATTGTTAAACACCTGGTTGTTAAACACCTGGTGTTAAACACCTGGTTGTTAAACACCTGGTATTAAACACTGTATTAAACACCTGATTGATAAAACACCTGGTTGTTAAACACTGATTATTAAACACCTGGTTGTAAACACTGGTTGTTAACACCTGGTTATTAAACACCTGGTTATTAAACACCTGGTTATTAAACACTGATATTAAACACTGGTTATTAAAACCTGGTTATTAAAACACCTGGTGTTAAACACCTGTGTTAAACACTGGTTATTAAACACCTGGGTATTAAAAACCTGGTTATTAAACACTGATTATTGAACACTGGTTATTAAAACACCTGGTTATTAAACACCTGATTGATAAAACACTGGTTGTTAAACACCTGGTTGTTAAAAACACCTGGTTATTAAAACACCTGGTTATTAAAACCGGTTATTAAACACTGATTATTAAACACCTGGTTATTAAACACTGATTGATAAACACCTGTTAAACACGGTTGTTAAACACCTGGTTGTTAAACACCTGGTTGTAAACACCTGGTATTAACACCTGGTATTAACACCTGGTGTTAAACACCTGGTTATTAAAAACCTGGTTATTAAACATCTGGTTGTTAAACACTGATATTAAACACTGGTTGTAAACACCTGGTATTAAACACCTGGATTGTTAAACACCTGGTTATTAAACACTGGTTATTAAACATTGGTGTAAACATCTGATTATTAAACACCTGGTTATTAAACACCTGGTTATTAAACACCTGATTGTTAAACACCTGGTTGTTAAACACCTGGTTATTAAACATCTGGTTGTTAAACACCTGATTGTTAAACACCTGGTTGTTAAACACCTGGTTGTTAAACACCTGGTTGTTAAACACCTGATTATTAAACACCTGGTTGTTAAACACCTGATTATTAAACACCTGGTTGTTAAACACCTGATTATTAAACACCTGGTTGTTA